CCCCCCCCCCCCCCCCCCACGTCTCCACAGTCTGATGCTGCACCGCATATCACCTAACCTGTTGCTTCAATACCTGGATGCAACTTTATGCAAAGGGCTTGAATAGAGACAGAACCAAAAAGACCTCTACAAACCCCAAAGACTAAACTTGTCACAGAAGCACTTTCCTCCGAGGTCCCCGGAGACACCAAGGAGGACAGCGCGGTGAAGCGGCGCCCAGCGTGCTCCGAAACGCGGCTCAGCAAGGACGCCCGTTGAGAAGGGCTGGCAGAAGGAGAAGGATTGGAAGAGGGGCTGTCAGCCAGCACCTCTAGAAAACCTGGAAGATCCAGCTCATGATCATCGGGCATGCCGGTTACCTGGCCATAGCGTCCACGTGTCTCTGCTAAATCCTAAACCCTCCACTCCTGACAGGCACTTACTCTGCCATCTTTCGCGCGACCAGGGAGCGAGTGACTCTACCTGCTTCGGGCTTTTCCCATAGTCTGCCAGAGCGTCGGCAATCTCCTTCGGACGACTCTCTTCGATTCAGGCTTCCTCTCATGACTATAGGAAATTGGGGTTCAGCACCAGAAGTTCGGGCATTATCTGTCGTGATCACTTCTGCGGCACCCACCCTTTGGATCCCATACCATGAGAAAACATCTTTGTCTCAATTTCAAGAGAGTACAGACAGTCGGAAGAGTCTGGCCCTGTTGAACCCTCTAAACCCCGAAACCCTAAACCCNNTGTGAAGCTGTAAGGAAGCTCCGCCCCAGCGCAAGGATGACACGCACACTGAGGCCGTTTTTGCACGAAGAAAGGCAGTGACCCCGAAATTTTTTTCAGGGTGTTGAGGGTGGTTTGTGTATGGGCCCTCTAGAGATCCCTGGGTTGGTTTGGGTTCTTGGGGTTGGTGAGGCTCCGGAACTCCTGGTGTTGGTTATAGGTTCGCACCCAAAGTTTAGGCCACCCTAAACCCTAAACCCTAAACCCTAAACCCTATAAACCCCAAACCCATGTTTGGGGTCGGAGGTTTTAGGGGCCTTTCACAGTCCTCGCGACCCAAGAGCTGGCCAAAACCATCCGTGTCGAACTTTTCGAAGGTGCTGCGAGCCTCTTGCTTCTGTGGTCGTTTTGGGCTTCCTTTGAAGGGTTCCTTTAAAGGGGTTTAGAGTTTAGGGTTTAGGGTCTTTTTTGGGCTTCCTTTGAAGGGTTCCTTTAAAGGGGTTTAGGGTTTAGGGTTTTGGGTCTTTTAGGGCTTCCTTTGAAGGTTCTTTTTAAGGGGGTGTAGAGCATAAAAGCTTTCTGCAAGGGGCTCTTATTACAATTCATAACTAAGTAACTATCTTTCAGACCCAACTGCCGTTCCTTCAAGGGTTTCCATTGGATTCTAAACCCTAAACCCTAAACCCTAAACCCTAAACCCTAAACCCTAAACCCTAAACCCCTACTGGATTCCTTCAAGTTTATTTCGACCCGAAGACCCCAGGCCTGAAACCCTCAACTCGAGCCCCAAACCCCGCAACTGCCCTGCGGTTTAGGGTTTAGGGTTT